TTTAACATTTAGGAGCTCTGGATGCAATCTCTGAAGATAGCGTGAAATACCTGCTGTAGCCTCATTACTTGCAATTTAAGAACCACAGATAGGTAGGATAATTTTCCCACAGATCTSTTCTCTGCTCCTTCTACTCTGTGTTCCATTTTGTAAATACCAAATTAAATGCATATTTTGAGGRTGAAACAGATGTAAAAGGGTGAGTTGGCATTCTCTGTTTCTTGCAGAAATRACTGGAGAAGTAAGCACGGCCTTAGCAAGTATACACTTTCAGCAAAGGCTCAGCTCCTGAGATCAATGCTTTTCCATTGCCTTGTACAAACAACGTAGGATGAGGAGAAAGAGACAAAGAAAAAAGGAATAAAATACTATCTGGGACAGAATGCTTGAATTAATGACACAGTTTATATCACTGTCTTTATGCATAAACGAAAAGTGGGGTTGGGGAATGCTACATAAGTGGCAGCATGTGATGAAAAATAAGTCTGATCTTACTTGCAATTGCTATTGATCTGCCTTGTAACAGAACAAGGAATTTTTATGTTTTAATAGTGGATTTTCTCAACTGCTGTATTTCTTTCTTCACTTAGTTCTGAATAAAAAACATGGAAGGAACAAGACTCTGGATGAGAATCCTGTAATAACCTAATGGAGCAGGGGCTGATTCTTCATTCTACATCTTATAAGAGAAATTACAAAAGTACCACTGAACTTTCCTAAACTTTGCTCTCTTGTTATGGAGGAAGGTGGCTGGCAATTATATTAACTTCTATGGTTACACATTCAAAGTCTTTCTGCTGACTCTCCAACTTGACCCTCTGTGTTGGCTCTGGCTTGTGCCAGAGCTTTGCAACTTCTTTCTCATTTTCTCAGCAAAATGACAGTAGGTGGTTTTTTTTTTTTTTTTTTTTTTTTTAGACAGAGATAAAAGCATCATAGTTGCTCAGATCTCTGGGAGATACAGAGTTGACCTGAAAGAATAAATTTACCTTTGTATTTATAATCCAAACAAAATTTATACATCCTGATCTGATGAGTTTTGGAATAGCATATCCAAATCCAGGAATGATGACACAATTACACTATAGAGAAATACAATCATTCTTTGATCTGATTTGAATGAACAGCCTTTTATTAAAGCATATTTGTCTATGCCTGGTACCTAAATTCAAAATAAGCTTCAAAAYGTTTCTCCATCCCCACTGGCAAATCCCTAGTTTTAAAGGTGATTAGTATTATGTGGAAAAATATCTGCCTGAAGTGTAAAGTCCAGGCATATGGCTGAGGAGTAAATATAACTGCCCAAACTAAATCTCTTGGCCAGCTATGTGCCTTTGCCTCTTTGAACAGGAATTATCCTTGTACTTGCTCAAAATGAGACTACAGGCTCTTGGGTTAATGATATTTTGTGTTATGCATCTGAAAGGAGAAGTGAATAATCATGAGGGATGGAAACAATATAAAGAGGTGATAGTGTGTTAATCAGTCAAGGATCTTGCACTAATTCCTGGTCCCTTGAGCAAAGCCTAAATAAAGTCATTTGGGAGGAATAGCTATGTCAGGATTGCTAGAAATAGCAACCTCCTCCACTCTCTGGAAGTGAGTTATGAAACATGAGCAAACACAACCTCTTCATCTATTTCTGGAAGTAATTTTTGTATCTTTGTCCCAAGCACCATCAGTAGTATGAAGGCTTTGGCTGATGGAACCTCACAATGCAGATCTACCCTCCCACCATGTTCCTCAGTTTTYAGTTTGCTGACACAGAGGAAGCTTTGGTGAGCATTTCTCCATGACATGTAAGGAACGTGGATTCGTGCTGCACTTTCTGTCCTAGGACCTTGCATCTCACTAGCTRTACTGCAGAACTATTAAGGTTCTGATATATTTCAGCCCTTCTATAAAGGTAGGTAAGGTGCAGGATCTGGACCGCCATCTAAAAGTGCTGAGGTTCTCCTTACATCTAAACCATTTCATGGAATATCTRAGGCATTTGAAGCATAAACATCTTCTGATAAAGACAAGCTGCAGTGAACGTGGTCAGAGGAACAGCAAGAGCTGGGGCATTTTAGACCAGGAAGTGGGACTGCTGTTCAAGTTTATAAAGAGTGTGAGTTTCTCTTCCAGAGCTTCCTTATGTGTGTTTGGATCTCAAGACTAAGAATTTTATCACATGAGTTAGTACCAAAGATTGAGAAGAAATGGCTTATATAAGCCTTAAAAAAATCCCAGTAAACTTAATTACCTGTTTAACACCTGACTAGTCCTTTTCRCTTCTGACTTACAGTTTAAATGCAAATTAATATAAATATAAACTATGCCTAAGTGAACAGGAGCAACCAAATTGTGGGATTTTCACAGTAGACATGCAGATTTTGCTTTTAGGAAGTGATGACATTTTTTTACTSTTCTCAGTGCCATAGCACATGTGAGCAGACTGATCCATTCTTAAACACAGATTTACATTTCAGCATATATGCCATCAGGGTAATGCTTACAGCAACACTATAATGGCTAACTAACCAGAAAGTTCCTAGGACTCTGCGTATTGAATTTGCCTGTTTATTTTTTTCATTGATAGATGCTGTCTGGTGAACTTTAATTCACTTCTTGAATGCTTTTCATGTCTGAACTCAGCTACTCTCTTTTAAATAAATTTTAAATTAGACAGCAAGTCTGCCTTATATTTTCTTAATAAATCTGACTGTTACATTATCTAAAGCAGCAGTAGATGTATTAGTTATAACATAGAGAAGGGACCCACCAACTTATGACCTGTGGTCTGCCCTGAAATAACTTTCTGTATCTCGTCAAGAAATAAGAACAACAAAACTTGTTGTAAGTCAAGATTCTAGGGTTTTTTGTGTATAGGATGATTCATGACACTGAGTCCTTCTACCTAGACAGTAAAATACAAGCTCAAATTTGTGCATTATAGTAGGTTTAAAAGACACAGTGCTTTTATCTCACATACTCAGGATCTGGAGATTTGTCTGTGGGTCATGGTACTGAGAAGATGCTGGGAAATTGAAGTGAAAATTGAGGAAGAGGTGGGAAATAGTATGTGCTCTGTGAGGCATAAACACAAAGCTCCTGTACTTTGTACATGTCTCCACTTTTAATACTGCAAAGGCACTGGAATACTGTGGGCGGTTCCAAACCTTGATCTTGCCTCAAATTGCTCATGGCAAAGGTATACATATTGAACATTGGCTAACACTGCTCTTCAGCTTCAGCAACTCTTATAATTTCTTGATGTTTACGTCTCTGACGAAGTGTATATAAGGACAGCTGTCACTYACCCTCTTACTATTTGTTTGCTATGCAAAGCACACTCGGCTTTTATAGTCTCATCTCATAAAAGGGGCTCTTTAATGGCCTTGTCTCCCCAGCACCTGTTGCAATTCRTCGTAATTCAGCTTCATGAGGCCAACAGACCTGTCTCAGAGGAGGTCATACCAGGGTCTCTCCAGCTCGTGACATGACCTTGGTTCATTTTTGCGTTTTTCTGTGAGCAGTTCCCACCTGGTAATGATTTTTGACATATTATCACCAACAGACCCACTCTTCTTCCTTCTCATTCACTTCCTCTTCATATCAGAAAAAAATTACCAGCCAGGACTATGATTCAAGACCACTGTGTTGCACTTTCTGCCACTAAATTTCACCCACTGTAGTTTACACAACATTTGGGGATAGTGAATGTCTGCATGTTGACTCCACACTTCCATCCTGTGCCATTTGWATTTTCTTCAATCAAATTATACTCTTTCCCCCCACTTCATTACTAGCAAGTAAAATAAGCTCACTCTTTCTTATACAGAAAGTCTTCCAAAATTTAAACCTCAGTTATTCATCTTCCATTCCAGAGTCTTCTGCTTAGTCAGTTCCTCATCCATTTTACACCACTGGTGCTAACCTCTGTCTTCTGTAACTCATCTGGCAACTCCCTAAGTGTCAGAATTATAAACATTTTTAGAAGTCATTTGATTTCTGTGTGTCACATAAGGAACACATGCCTGGTAGCAAGTATGCTTACAATTTTAAGTGCAATTGGATGCATAACACCCTGCTAATGGAAGAAGAATTAGAGCTGAAGCAAAACAAACAAATCCTACGCTTAATTTGATAATGAAGATTTATTCTGGAGCTGGCAGGAACTGGATCCACAGCTAGTTTAATGATTTCCACTTTCCAAGAAAYCTTGCGGTAGAGGAAGCGGCACCTTTTTACAGGCTGGAGCAATTAATGCCACCGAATTTTTGCAGGGAAGCTGTTTATGAAGGCGACGGGAGATCGCACAGCGGGGAGCAGCGCTGGAACCCAAGCGAATACACGGGAATTTCATCGGGAAGGGTGTGAACCTGTGATAGCCATTTGCACGCAAAAGCTGCTGGACTCATCCTGTCACCCCTGCTGGCCCCTGGATCGGGGCTATGCCACACATCCAGCAGGRAAACACACCTCAGCGCCGAGTCCTGGGGAGGGACCCAGCGCTCCGACCCTCACAGCTCCTTCGCCAAAGAGGCTTTCTACGAAGGGCCATAAAAAGCCCTGCCAGGCTGCCTGTGACCAGCACATTTCATTTCAGCAGCCAGCCAGGTTAAACCTTGCTGGTTGATCTTCCTGTGTGTTCGCCCATATGTGAGTACGTCTCACTTGAATTTGGGAACTATTCCGACGCTGTCCGAGTGCTGGACATCCATGTTTTTCCATATTCCCATCTCCTCGGCGCCGGGGCAGGCGGTGGCAGCCCTTTCCCCTGGCTGGGCACTGCCRGCCCTGTCCCGGGCCGGCTCCTTSCCGCATTCCCGGGGGACAGCGGCGGCGGGCGGTGCAAGGCAGGGCGGCTCTCCCCGCCCCGTTCCCGGTGCCCTGCCGGGCCCTCCCGGCCCACGGGCACGCATTTGGCGGGACTCTATAAAAAGCCGCCCTGAGGCGAGGCCGCCGTCCTGCCAGAGCCGCCGGCAAAGGCTGGGGCGCGGCGCCGGCACCGCACCATGATCAACCCCAACTACTACCCCTGGGGCTACGACAGCGACAACGGTGAGAGCGGGGCCGCTCCTGCCGCCGCCGGAGCCCGGGCACAGCGGGGCCCCGCTTCCCGAGGGAGCACGGCGGGGACAGGCTGCACTTGGGCCCGGGGCTGGGCAGGTGGCCGGGCCGAGCCCGCCCGCTTGTCGCTCGCAGGCGCGGAAGAGGCGAAGCTGGTGCAAGGAGAGGTCAATGGCAGGGGGTCTTTAAATAAACTCAGTTTTTCTGCTGTTGATGTAAATTAAAATTTGACATAGGGTTAAAATCCGGCTTAAGGCTGGCCCTAATGTAGGAGGARCCGTGCTGGGCTGCAGGTCCTTTCTGCCTACAGAGGTTGCGGATATTGGTGGTCCCTTGTTCTTGTTCCTGCTTTCTCCTTTGCTGCCGGAAGAGCAACTCAGCGTTGGTCAGGCTTTTTCCACGTGAACTTCTTGGTAAAACCATGATGATAATAAATCCATGTTTCAAATTCCTGACATGTCCAGGGATCATTGGCCATTCTCGTTGTAGATGGATACATGGTGCCCTATTTGAATCATTTAGGCATATCCCAACATCCTTGTAGCCACTGCTGGACTTGGAGTATACACCTCTAGTTTTCTTCCTTGGCATATTATCAGTGTCTTATTCGTCAGTCTGCTAATAAGTCTTGAGGTTGCTATGAGAATTTAGGTTCAGTTGAATGACTTGARGTATCCAATATTCCAGCTAGAAATCAATCTGATTGCTTTTTATTCTTGATATGGCATGAATAACAACCAGGCAATTAATAACCTGCTTATTAATGTGCTTAATTGATGTTCTGTATTTATGCAAAGCCAAGCTTGTGCTAATTGTAACGAGTGTAATTCATACCTGTCTGGAAAAGGTTTTCATGATACTTCTCTGCTCTTTTTTTCTAGGACCAGATCAGTGGCACAAAAATTACCCTTTTGCAAATGGACGCCATCAATCACCGATTGAAATTAATAATAAAGAGGTGCATTATGATAGTTCTCTACTGCCATGGTTTGCTAGTTATGATCCTGGTGCAGCTAAGACCATCCTAAATGATGGCAAAACCTGCAGAGTTGTATTTGATGATTCATTTGATAGATCAGGTCAGTTTTGTTTTTATCTCTAGCTATCGTGATATATAAGTGACTGTTTTTCAATTTGTGTGAAAGAGTCTGCTCTGAATGTTCAGGCTGTCAGAAAGTCTCTGTGTACTGTCTGTGTGTGATGTACAGGTTTCTGTGACTCTGGTACCCTGTGCTACTGCTGGGAAAGGCCTGAGATTCCTTTTAAAGTTCATAGGTAAAATCCTAGGGAACGGAGAGAGCTGCAAAGAAACTTGGTACAGGTTTACACTTGGTACAAGTGAATTAAGGTGTAAGGTGCAGTTGTGTTGCTTTCCAGGATTAAGGAGCCCAGGATTTATCTGTGAGAGCTGAATTCCATTTTAGCTACAGCAGAACATCTTAAGTTACAATATTTAAGAACTCTATACGTGTAATTGCTGATAAATGAAGTAATGAACCAGATGTTGCTGCATTTTCGTGGTTTTTTATCAGTTAAAACTTTTTGGCATTCATCAGGTTTTGTCTTAATGAACATTACCGGGCTGTAACATTGTTTCAGGTTTAATGTCCAAAGTCTTTTGTACACTTACACCAATGAGAGCGCACAGTGTACAGACTTATTTTTACCTGCATTAAAAGTTCCACTTTCTATTACAATGTAACTAGAATTGTCAGCTATGATTACTACAAGAACTTCTACCAATAGATCGTTTCATGCTAAGTATATATGGACATGCATATAATTTAATGAATTTTTAACAAATTACTTGGGTTTTGTGAAAACTGAGCATCAGAATATCTGTAAGCTGGACTAGTTAATACACTGTCAAAACTCTAAAATTTACCATGCAGTCAAGATTTTTGTTACTTTTCTAGTGAAGTGGGAATCTTGAATGTTATTTAAAGGAAAACATTATTAATACAGATAAAATGATAGACAAGTAAAGAGATACAGCTCTTCCATATGAGATCTCCATGGCTATTACCTACCATTTTTTACCATCCATCTGTTGTATTTGTTAGGACAGAATCAGATATACCAATGGCTGCATCTTCTGCATAAAAATAAAARTAGTTATTGTTACCGTAACTCAAATTTTGAATGGGATGGAGTATCTAGGCACAGCAATCTACAGCATGGATGCAACACTTGTTACAGAGAGCAGAAAGTTTTGGAATGTTCTGAGTATTTTTTTCAGATGAACTGCTCAGTAACTGTTGTGTTTTGATTTCAGAAATAAAAAATGACTCACTGCAAAAAAAGTAGGTGTAATCTCAACTCTTTGAAGTCAAGAACCATTCAGTGTTTGTTGTTATGTCTCCTTTGTTATACCATTGCCTGCAGAGTCTGTAGGTGGTGTTCTTTCTCTAATGTAATGCTAATTGCAGGACAAATTCCACTGTGCATAGTCCTACTGGCTTGAACACTTTTTAAGTTTTTTAGGATATGTACAGTGGCTTAATAAATTGCCAAGATGAGTGATAGAATGAATTACTTTGGRTGTCTCCAAGTGTTACATCCATTGTATCATCTGACATACAGGAGTATTCACAGTGGGAGACAGTTTCTTAAATTCAAACAATCAGACAGAGTGCCATCCAATATAATTCAGGTATTAGTTTGAAAAAGGCCTTATTACTGTTATGTTTGGAGTTAGCCTAGTGGAAGGAATTTGAAAATTTATTTCCAGCTATTTATAAAGTCTGGTTGACTTTGAGAATCTGCTAGGCAATTGAAAGTTTTGCTGAGTTTGCTGACAGCAATAGGAGCTGTATCACACTTCTGCTGCCTGTCCATACAAGTTAAGGGATTCTTGTGGACTCACTTTCCTGTCTTAATGATGTAGGAGGACCTTATGTAGTGTAAAATGATTGCAGGTGGAAGCTGGAGTCTCRAAATTCAGAAGGAACTGGAAGCTCAAATCAAACCTCCTAGGTGGCTGGACCCAGTGAAACACGCACCAGAACCCGGGTGCTTTGGCAGCCTACCACTGCTATGTTTTTTTGCCATGACTGGTGACTGGTGACAGTGACTCAATTTTGGTTTGAATTAGGGCTGAAATCATATTTCCACTAGCAGAATCCATTMATTTTTGAAATCCAAAAAATATTCATGTCAGAGAAGTGTCCTGAGAGCTTCTAACTGGTGAGACTATGGTCACAATGCTATGTGAGATTTATGACTTCCTTACTATTAATGAGTCTTTGGCTTTCGTTGTAATGCCTTGGTTAGATGGTTACCCCAAGGTGTTTGATTGTTTGAGAAACAGTAAAGGTAGAAAAGCCTGGTAATAGAACCCAGATAGAGCAGCTAAGGAGAGATACATAAAGGCTATGTCAAATGGATGCCTTCCTTCATCTTCCCACTTTGTCTGTTGTTTTTGTTGGCAGTTTTTGTTGGGAGTTCATCAGCCAAATAAATTCCTACTTCTTTTACTGGCTTTCAGATGAATGTCGTTTAAGGACTTCGAGTACCACAGTGCAGGCAGACATTCTTACAGGGTTACCTTGATGCTGTTTTCAGAATCTTTCCTATCAAAGAAATGTGTGGCTTTGAAAGTGGATGATGCAAAAAAAAGAAAAAAAAATTAGAGACAGTTGCTGGTAGAAGTCAGAGCTTGTTGCTAATCAACTCTCTTAGCMTGAATAGGGCTTGTGGCCAGCATCTCCACAAGTACCATTTTGTAGGAAACCTCATTTATTTTTGCAAATGAAATTTTGATTATCAACTTCTGGTGTATAAAACATTCATTTTCAAAACATTATCATAGAGTGAGGACAAACCCCAGTAACTTTAATTAAATCAGGGGGAAGTCTGTCCATAGACATTCCAGTTTTGGTTTCTTCCTGAAAAATTTTACCTAACATTTTGTCTGCTGAATTTACCCAGGAGAAAACCAGTAGCTATTACAAGAACAGCACCACTAAATCMCAGTACTTTTGTGGCTGTGGTACATGCAAATTGCTCAATGGCTCTGCTGCAAAAGACAGCAAAGTTAAATTCTTCCTTCAGTGTAACAACACATCTGTCATTTGTAGTGTCTGCAGGTATKGAGCACTCTTGTGCTTGGGTACAGGGAATTTAGGATTTGAATTTCTGTTAACTTTGAATTTCCACTGTTAGAATTGAAAGTGCTTGAACCTGCTGAGGCTACATTTACACAGAGGRCTATCAGTTTTCTGACCCTGGAGATGGGGCAGCCACCTATTCACCCTACATAGATCACAAAGAAAGATGACTTGGGAACTCACAGATGAACAGGCTGAGATCAAGGGTCACAAAACTGGCAAAGATGTATTATAGTGTAGGTGAGGGTGGGTGGCAGGCTGACAGACTTCTGTCTGACACATTTCTTTGCCAGTCTGATCCTATAAGAGTACAGAGTTCAAATAGAAACAAAAATAATCCTTCTGCATATCYATTCACTGCTTGCTTAAAGAAAATTTCAGTGAGAACTGAAATTTGCGTTTCAAAAGCTTTTAGGAAACAYGTTTTATCCCAGCAGTTAGCCAGGCAGTTTCAGTACAGAGATCCTCTTCTGAGCAGACTTTTTTTTCTGACTTTTAAATGTGTTTTTTGTACTGCACTGTTAGATTCTGTTRTAAAGCAGCAAAACAAAGGTAATGTGTCTTTTCAATTGTCATACAGCAGTACATCACTAATTTCCTTGTGGTTTTCCAGTTCATTTTATGGATTTGGCAGGATGCAAGATCATAAATCTTCCTAGAACAGACATTTATTCTCATGTTTATAAACAAAAGCCATCTCATGAGTCTGTTTTATTTTTCTTGGGTTTTTCCATCTGGCTTTCATGGTATCCTTCACAGCAAACAGGGAGGGCATTTTTGTAGGCATAACTTAGCCAGTTTTTTTAGTGAGGGCAAAWGACAACTGACACTAGCACAGATTAACAGCCAGGCCCCTACAGAAGCTGCTCAGCAAGTGGATGCACATATTTGAAAAGCTTCTTGTCACTTTTCGGTTCTCAAGGACACTCAGATAGCTAAGGTAAAGTGATTGGAGCAGCCATCTCCACTCAACCACATGACACCTTCATTTTGCTGTCTGTCATAGAGTGAGAGACAGGATTTTCTTGCCTGTTACATCTTTCTGTGCAACACTTGCCCTGGTGATTACATTTAAAAGGGAAAAAAAGCCCATTCTTTTATTAGCCCCTTTCATCCCATGCTGCTCAGCTGATGACAGATCAAATAAAAGGTGAGCTTTTTTTCCAGAACAGATGTCCATGTGTATGTCCACGTAAGATTGTTCTGTGATAGGTCATTCTTCRGTGTGAATGTGGGGAGGACAGAATYTGGGCAAGACTGACTTGACATTTTTATGTCTGGTATCAGGCACTGAGGGATCTCCGAGTGTGATGTACAAACCGTTTTAGAGTCAGTCAACTGAGCAATGGGATGAGAGTTTGTGACAATTGGGCACCAAAAAGGAGTGAATATTTTCCTCCTTTGCRTTCCTGGGCTGGTTTCTATGTTGCTACACCTGGGCCGTGTTACTTTAATGATAGCAAGTTTATGGGAGTTACATTTTGGTAATTCTGCCATGACTCAGATTTTTAAGGTGAACATTTCCTGTGTAATAATTGTCAGAAAAATTCCCTGATACATGTAAATATTATATACTAACATTGCTTAAAAACAATATAAAGATACCATCTCTTCTTTTAAAAACTTTCATTTTGTATTCTTTATCTGTTATGTGGTTGTGTATTTTTGTTTGTGTAGAATTGAAAACTAAAGTCCAAGAGAATAAAGATATGTTTAGAATTTCAGTTCCAAAGCACATGCTTATTAAAAAAATATATTTATCTTACTAATTTTGAACTATACAGATGGGATTTATAATGTTTTAAATATTGGAAAACTTAGTTCTTGTAACGGTTTTGTTTACTTTTCCTTTCCTGAAGTGCAGGAAAATTCCATTTACTTATATTGTCATTTTAGGTATTTATATGTTTAATACTTTGCACTTACAATGAAAAAATAGGAAATRCCTTTTTGTCCTTCAGGAAATGTTTGCATCATTCTGTCTGCTTAAAGTGTGCAAGGTAAAAGTTACTGTCTATTTATAGTGGAGTGAAGCTGGAACATGTTGGCACGCGATGATACAAAGCTTCACCTAATGCCCAAACAAAAATTTCTGTTGATGGTCCGGCAGTGGAAATAATGACATATTTTTACCTTAAAGAGGATTATTTGGCCTTGCAGATCTATTTTAATGGAGAACTGATGGCCTTGTCAGCTACTACTGTTACCCTGTCTGTGCTGACCACAGTTCTGAATGTCTGTGGGAAGAAGTAAAAGGAACTTGTTGATAATCACAGCTTTCTCTACTCTTAGTGCTATATTTATTGAGATGATCATGGATTTCATTATTTCCACATTAAATGATATTTTTCTCTGGCGTATATAGACTTGTACTTGAGAACTGCTGAATGTTTTATAGGAATGCTATAACTTTTATCCTCAAAAAAGGTGAATGAGGATTGGGTGTTTTTTTAGTATTTGGTGAATTTAAAGATATTCGTTCTGTTTTATTGATCTTTCAAACACACCACATTCATTTACAATATTATTTTAAAATTATATGATTGTTTAGAATACTAGATGTCATTCATCACAGGCTGAACTTCTTTTTTTTTAAATGAAAATAGCTTGTATTCTCGGTGATTGCTTTTCTGGTTTGTTTGCTGCTTTCTTTCTCCTCTTCCATAAMTGGAGGGAGCAGCCATTGGAGCAGAAGCAGCATCAGTGATTTCATAACTTTTTAAACAAATAAATCAAGCAGTAAGCCTGCAGTAAGATACACAATTTTATAGCATTTTGTGGGAATTTGTTTATCATCCAGCACTTTAGTAGTTGATCTTAATCATGATTACGTTTGTGGGCTATCATATAGGTAGATTCTAGATTCAATTCAGGAGGAGATTAAGCCATCTAAATTTAGGTGTCTTAATGTTGGTGGGTTATATCTAAACTGCCATTCTGGGCAACAGAGTTGGAGTTGCATTTAATCAAGGAGTCCAGAGGGCAATTCAGGTCATGGTCTGATGAGTGTCTACCTTAAGGCAAGCAGAATTATTCTAGAGGCTTGACTGTTCTGMTTAGGGGAATACTTCAGTTACCCAAGCACAGGAATCTTGTGACATGTTTGATAACCTAAGCTATTTCCCCTTGCCTCCAGATACTGCTTTAGAAATGTGCAGTTCTTCTACAGATCCTGGGCCACATCTTTCACTTCTCTCGAGGTGTCTCTGGAATATTCCAGAAARTACTACATKCACATTTATGCAKCTGAATTAAATCAGTGATCTCTAGTGACTGTAATGGAAGCTTAGATGCAAATGTTCTTATCTGCCTATAAGTGCATATTGCTGAAGATGGCTAAAATCAGTGTAGATTTTCAGAACTGCAAGCATCTGTACAGTAAATATGTAAATCTGTGTGTAAATATTGTGGATACATATGTATTTAATTTGAAAGAATTGGGAGATGCTTGAGTCTGATGCTGTTGCAGATTCTCAATTGCAGTGCTGAGAGGGGGGCCACTCCCAGGAGTCTTCAGGCTACGTCAGCTGCACTTCCACTGGGGCTCGTCTGACGACCAYGGCTCAGAGCATGTTGTGAATGGAGTGAGGTATGCAGGAGAGGTAAGAATCACCACTTTTTACTTTAAAACGGGGTGTAAAATAAAATTTGTCACTRTTGTTCTGGTGGGACAAAATCTGTCATTTTTCTGTTTTTCTGGAGTTCTTTCTGTTTATTTATCTGTGCCTATTTATTCTTACTCCCATCAGTTCTTATAAATGTGAATCAGGTTGAAGTAATTCTCACAGCATGAGAAAAGAAAAATAATGTGTGAAACAAAAGTTTCCATGTTCTAAATCCAATGTGGTGTGAAACAGAACAGCAAGACTGAATTACTCTGAAGGAACCCAAACTTATTAAAACAATATTCTGAAAATACAGAATTATAGTAGAAGTATAAAATTGCAGTGATAGAAGGGGGAAGAACATGTTACCTTGATTTTTTGCCTCTTCAGGATTGTAAAGAAAATGAGAAATRCAGACTATACATGAATGACATTCATGTAGATTCTTTGTTAGAATTACTGTAATTTGAATGCCAAATAAAAATGAATCATATATCAGTAGATGTCTGAACTGCATGTTGTACCAGCTTACTCAAGCAGCTTTGCTTCAGCTTTAAGATGAGATTTCAAATTAATTTTTCTCAATTTCTTATTAATATATTTATAGTTCATTTTAAAGCAACTAGTGGTATAATTAATGTATAACAGATATAACTAATAAATTACTTTGCTGTCCTTATTTTTTTTCTCTTTTTTTGGAAGGCCCCATTATCATTCTTTGTTGCCTCAAACTCACACACTTATATGTGTATAAAGTGTAAGTTCAGCCTGTGATGGCTTGCTGTTGAATAATGGGGATCTTTTACATGTTTTTCTTTGTTTCAAGCTCCATGTGTTACACTGGAATCCCAAATACAGTAATTACCTTGATGCTAGGAGAAGAACTGATGGCATAGCTGTTTTGGCTGTGTTTTTGCAAGTAAGTAGAAGACTGCAACCCTTCTTTACACTGATTACAGAGTTTCTATTCTTAGAGGGTTAAAAAACCCCAAATCCTCTGAGTATATTTTCTAGGGATCCTACCACATTGAAGGGGTTGACTTTCAGTAATGTATCCTTTTCAAGTTATAGAGCATGAGTCATATTATTGAAAGTGGTATCCAATACTACACACACTTGTCCCTGCAGCTATTGTGTCACTATGTGGYTCATGGAATGGGGACACATGTCAGAAGTGGCCCTCTGACCAACACCAGTCAGCTGTCTCTTTTGCTAAGTGTGGACAGATTTCAAGGACACATACTTCTTRTAGGCTTTTCATGAACTTTCTCCCAAACAAAACTAGCTCACAGACAATTCATGATTCTCATCCTTTTTTTTAAAATCCTTTGGAGGGCATGCAGCCTTAGCCTGAAATATTAGCTGTAGCTCTCTCTTGTTTAATTTATGTTCACTAGAGATACAAAGCTGGGATGTCTTTTTTGAGATCATCAATTGAAAACGATAGATCTAACTATGAAGTCTATCTTTTAAACTAGAATAAAACTTTTTTTTTTTCCGAGTCTGAAGAGGTGTTTATCTTTATTAGGCTAAAATTTAATGTCAATAGGAATAATTGTGTTGTGAAATTACCTGTTACGCTAGATTTCTATACTGATGTCATTTCCCCCTTTGTATCATCTATAATAGACAGAGTTAACAGAAAGAAGACATAACTTGGCAAAGTGGGGTTAGTGCATTATAATTTTATAGTTAATATATGTTTAGATGCTCACAGAGAAGAATAGGAGAAAAAAGGAAGCCAGTCAAGCAAAACTCCTTGCTTAGCTCATGCTTTCTTCTTTACAGGTAGGAGAAACTCCCAAACCAGAGATGAAGAGAATTCTTGAAGAAATAAATGCYATCAAAACAAAGGTAATGATGTTGGAAGATTGCTTATAGGAAGATTGCTTAAGGTCTCAGGACAAAAAAAAAAAAATCCCAATGTCTGACTTTCTAGTTTTCAAATTCTGCTCTGCAACATTTCCAGAATATATTTGTGAATAAAACCATGGGTAGCTTTTCGTTAACACAAAAAGTCCTTTCATCCATTTACACATGAGCCTTCTTTGGCTTTAGTGGGGCTTATGAGCCTGRGAAAATGAGTAATTTCCCCAGTCTTTACTCACCTTAAAACTAGGCATGGAATATTATTGCSTCAGTGGATAGTGCCAAATAAAAGGTGTATTTGGAAATTGGTCSATTTGGTCTTAATACAGGCTGCCTAATGGATCTGTGGAAATGCCACTGGCTAGAGATTGGTGTCTTAGATAATATTATGTGATATAKCTCACATTTCATAGCCTGTCTTGCTTGTTATTACTACAAATATTATAAAAGCGTAACCTGTCTCAGTTTGTTATACTGACCTAGTCCAATATTYAGTAGATAGAAAGAATTTCCCCAAGAAAGGAGGCCAGGACAAGGAGTATTTCTGCAYAGAAATGAGTGAAACACATTGGTACTGGACACTGCTTCACATGAGTTAGCTCAGGTTCAGGAAACAGCATCATGAAGTTTTAAGTTGTGTCATGCTTCTCTGGGCTCATCTGTGAGGGTCATTCAGTTCACTTATCTTCACCYTGCATCATTATGTCTCATGCAAATCTGTGCTTCCTTTCCTTAGCTGATACATTTGAAGTATCTGAGTCACTTTCTGTTTCTTAAAATAACAGAGCTGCAAACTAATCTTGACTAGATTTGTAGATGASTTTTCTGTTTGGTTTTGTTGTGTTTTTGTGTTTATTTTAAAGGGTAAAAATGCTCCTTTTCCGAACTTCGATCCTTCGATTCTTTTCCCTAAATCTCATGACTACTGGACATACCATGGATCTTTCACTACTCCACCTTGCGAAGAGTGTGTCACCTGGATTATTCTGAGAGAGCCTATCATAGTCAGTTCAGACCAGGTAAACTTCCCCCTTGTTCTGCCTCCTGTTTCCTTGCCCATCTGAAAAATAAAATGTGGGGGCTATTTTGAAGTGGGTACTTGTGTGAAAAATACAAAYATGGTCTGACTGGTTTCCACAAAATGAGTTATCTTAGATGTTTATATTACAGAAGATCAGCTACAAATTTTATTGAGGAAAGTGTTCTCATTATTGAGCATCTCTGATTTAAAATGTATTTTTAAAGAAGCAACTAATCACATCACTGATCCAGTTTCATGAAAAGACTTTTTGATTACTGTTGTGTTTGGGTCATGGTCTTTTTCTCAGCTGTTCTAAAATTAGTGAGTTTTGGGAAACAATACAGACTGTTCTTTAACTATCCCTTCTGTAGAAAAAAATGGAGCATTTAAGATAAAGATGGAATTACTACATTARGATGTGAAATAGGCTCTTATCCTGAGGTAGCTGCTTTTCAGGCAGAACTGGTAGTGTGCTTGTGAGTTATTGTATAGAAATACAATAGAAATACTTCCCTCACTCCAGAGTGCCTTCCCTCAGAGTRCCTGCACTCTAAATAATGTATTCATAAGAGGATTGTGTTGCCAATTATTTCTAATCCTASACAGTGTACTACCATGGCAGCCTCATTAATAGTGATTATTATAAGTGTGTGTGCATTTGCGGTGGATTTCTTTGATGCTTTTGCAGCCAGATGGTAACTGTACATTAGCCACAAGAGGAAGTGCAGTCGCTGCAAATCAGTGCTCTGCAGGAAAAATCAATTCACCAGAAATCCCAGTGAGATGCAGTGTGGATGGCCTAGCTGCTCAGATTGCTTTTAATGAAATAACAGGAATTTAGCTGTGGAATAACTGTCTAATTGCAGACTAATTTTTTCATCTTTATGTACTCATAGCTTGAATACGTGTTGTTTTTTTACTGAGTGAAGCAGATCTTCCACAGATAATAATAAACCTCAGAATTCTTCTCCAGTAGTAATTTATCAATATTAACAAAACTGATGAGCTATTTTCTTCTCTTCCCATACAAATTCTTCTTCATCTGAAATTTAATTTCAGACTGTTGATCCATTAGATGTATATTACCCAAATGTGGCCTTGTCATTGTTCAGGCAGGTGTTTCTGAGCTGTTCAGTGAAAAGCAATGTTGTGATGCCCAGGCTAGCTCAGTCCATCAACGGGAGCCAGTCTAATCAYAATGAACCCATATTTTATTACCTAGACAGAAGTTCTGCTTGTGTTGGCCTTGAAGACTGTACTGAAATATAGAAACATCAGTGTATTGAAACTYCTGGCAAACAAAGCTGATGTGTGTCCTCCATGGGGCTACATTTTCAAGTTTACTTGGGCAATGTATGCATGCTTTTCACAGTAAGTCATTCACACAGGGACAGGTTCAAGTGTCTGAATCACAGCTGATGTGCTTTGGGTCTAGTGTAGTGCACAATAGCGACAACAAATGAATGTACGGTATCTGTACAGGCGTTGCATGCTCTGAAAATCAGAAATCAGTAGAGGAGGGATGTTAGACAGTTTTGAAGAGTATGGGCAGAAATCTTCTTATGGCATCCTTCCAAAAAAAAAAAAAAAAAACCCAAAAAAACCCCAACAACAAAAAATTTGGTTAAAAAAAGTGGCCAAGGAGAGTCAAGCTGCAGACTTTGTTTACAAACCATTTGAAATCATGACCAAGTCTTTATCCAGATTTAAATTCCTGTTACTAAAAGTGAACTTTTTRTGTCACTGCAATAGAATATATCCTCTGCTGCAGACCTACCATGGAAATGAACAATTTGTTTATAGTTCAGCTTTAAAACCTTGCAATTGTAAAGAAGACAYTAGGGCAGAGTTAGAGTAGGGGAGGTTTATTAGAGCACACACAGCTGTATTCACATTTTCTGAGTACAGCTTCTGTTGCTGTACACAGTTCTCCAGGCAGTACCTAAATGACACTATTTTTCTCAATCCTGTTGAAACAGGACTCATTTTTCTGTTTTGATTATTCCTMGAATAGCACTGCTAGGAAAAGAACATGAGAACAGTTCTTGTAGTGGTGGGGTGAAGGTCATCTCCACAGCTTTGAAGGAGACTTTTTCCACAGCTGGACCAGCCTCCTTAGTTTAGTTGTTGGGCTGTGGATTTGATCCCAAAGGATTTCTGTCAGGACACTTCAACTTTTGTTCTTCTGCAGATGGCSAAGCTCCGCAGCCTCTCCAAGAATGCTGAGAATGAACCTGATCACCCCTTGGTTGACAACTGGCGCCCGACTCAGCCGCGGTATTTCAGGATGGTGAGCGCATCATTCCTCTAGGACTGGCTCCTGTTGGGTGGTTCTGAGTGAGGTGACCTCTAGAAATGAGAGATGCTTTTCTCTTTTCTCCTTCACTGCATTTACACTGAACTGCAGCTGTAGGTCTGGAGGCTGAAACTTGAGTTKTGAAGTGAGAATTTCACTTTCAGAGGATAATACTTGCTTAGGCAAATCCTATTTTTAAAATGGGTRTAGGGAATCTGTTTGGTTCTTCATTACTGCTTTAACATTAGCTTGTGTTAATAGTACAAAGGAAGAAAGAAWATGCAACTAACAATTACAAGGCAATTTTCTGTTGTGCACATCTCTTGATGCTGGCTGATTGCATGCTAAAGAAGTTTCAGTTAAGAGAAGTWATTGTTTTCACCATTAAAGACATTTTTCAGTAGTTGTTTTCAGCATTATCTGTATCCAGCTCTGACCTGCACCAGTTAATCCATAAGGCATTCTTGGAAATTATAAACTCTTTTGGTCTTTGATACATAAAATATGAAAGGATAGGAAATTGTTGATAATTTTTGATAAAAGCTAAACTTTTACTTTCTTAAAACAATGGACAGGTGAAACAGAGGTCTGTTGTGAAAATGGTATTCACCAAATTATATGTAGTTAAAACGATGGGAAGGGGGAAGAGCTATTTCTGTTTGTGTCACAACTGGTTGCCTTTATTAAAAGACTAATTYCCATTTTAATGTTGTAGCAGTCCAGGTGACATGAATTTTGTGAAGTTGGTCTTCKTATCCTCCGTATATATTTTATTCATGTATGCAAAAGGCTTTTCTGTGTAAAAGGGSTGTTAAAATAATGAGAATCCTTAGTCTTTTTAGGTTTTTTTGAGAAAAATTCTCATTTTGTGTACAAATGTAATCAATCCTGCTGTCAATGAAATTGTGCATAAACATCTGAAACCACAGTTTGACTCTTAATCAAACTGACCAGTGTTTTTGTTCTTATCTCTTATTTTGGCATAAAGAGCAATGAAACGGGATTGTAAGTCTATAATTGAAATAACACTATTTTTGCTTTAAAAAAATCCATCAATAATAAATACATTTACTTAAGGTTTTTTGTTCTGTAGTTTTTTACTATATAGAAACATGTAAAAATAACAGAATTTTAAAGAAAGACTTGACAATGTCCTCTGTATTATATCGTTATGGAAACTGATCMTGTTTATTGTCTTTTTCAGATGTTTGTTTGAATTATAAAAGTACTGATTTCACATGACATTTAAAATAGTTACATCACTGAGACATCCACATTTATTCTGTTAGTGAGATCATCTCTATTCTGACAATGGCTTTCTTGCAGCATCATATGAATCAACTTCACAAATTGATTGTAGAGTGGAAAAGTTTGGTCTGTATCCAAACCCATTAAACCTAAAGGTAATTTACATTGAGCTCAGGAAATACAAAGCAGGTGCTGCTCTGGCAGTGGCTGGATTCTTGGCTGCCATGTGCTAGGGCAGGAGGATGTTGCTGAACTTGGTGATGAGAGCGGGGTTATGTTCCTTCATTACAAAAAGGAAAATTGAAGCAAAAATTGATTTTTCAAAATGCTTAGTTTACTGTGAGTTACAAGGTAAGTTATTTTATAAGGTGCTTTATTAAACAGAGTTGCATATCCTAGAGTAGGCTTCTTTTTTCCCTTGCACTTTTTGGTATTGCAAATCTGGAACATGTAATCTCAAGGGTTTTTAATGATATGATGGCTTCCCAATCACACTTTGCAAAGGAGCTGTCTGAGTGCTATAAAAGAAGCTGAGATAAGCCTCATGCTTCAGAGCTGTGTTTATTAACTTGTAAACTTAAAGTTGAAGTAATATCTCTCTGAAGAAAGTGTCATTTGACTCTTTCATGCAGTTGATTTCTTATTATCTGCATTTATAATTATTAAAATKTAGACTAAATTAGGCCCAGGAGAGTTGCAGATAGGAGGGAGGACATGTGTGAAAAAGGCAGTTGTTTTACAGATCCCATCCCGATGTTAAGGGAGTGTCGGAAGTAATGACGACAGATCTAGAAAACAATGGTTCAGCAGGCATTGGGAAAAAATGGAAAGAGTAGGAGTAGAAGGAAAACAAAAAGCCAAAGAATGGGGGGAGGTGCATCAGGGACACTGAATCATGCTGCAAGCCGAATGGATGAGGAGATTAGGGAGAGTTTTGAAGGCAGCAGGGAGAAATGAGGGGTGCTGTGAGTCAGCCTTTAGAATGTGCTCATGTATCATGCAATTTCCTGTTCTCTCTGGCTGTGTTCATTGCTATTCTGCAGAGGTTCCTCCTTGCTTTGCAGCCTTCCCCAAGTACAAGAAAAATTAATCACTGGTAAGACTGAATTCAGATCTTGTAGTAATAACATCCGTCATATCTCACTTCTRCCTGCACATTCCCATCATGTGGGAGCAGGGAGCTCTGGGTTCAGAACTACCTGGTAAAAAGGAAAGACATCCAATTTTTATCTGTGTGGGGTGGAGCTCAATGAATTACTACTGTATTTGACTTTCATACCATGTATGCCTGACTACACTTGGTGACATCAGTGCTCATTAGGAGCAGCCCCTCTGAAACGAAATGCGAAGATGAGACACGGAGCCACACTGCACAGCTCATTGGCAGCCTCTTCTCCAAGTTACTTTTTATCTGCTGCATATGGCAAAAATGATGTGACCATGCTCTGTGGTGCTGTGAGTCTTCCTGAAATTTGAAATATTTTAATGGAATGGCTGTACCTGCATCCACGTCACTGGCAGTCTTGAACATGAGCAAGAAAATGCTGTGAGGTGGAACCTGCAGTAGCACCAGAGAAATGATTATGCTCTTCAACAACCAACTCCAGACCTACCCTTCTAAACTTCAAACTAAAAGATATCCATGATAAACACTATGGTAGGAAGTCCATTTTCTTGTGTTTCTCATCGGGAAGCTCTTCTCTAGCCCCAAGGTAATGTGGATCAGAGCAGTTATCCTTGGGTTACCTGTCTGCAGCTGGGCAGGAAATTATCAACCTGCAGTCTCACTTTGTGCAGCTCTCTGAGGCAGGCAAGAGGACACAGATATAGATATCAATCCAGAATTTATATAAAAATAGACATACGTTTAGGTGTTGATGAAGGGTCAAAATTCAGTTGGTGTAAATTTCTGAAGAATTTAGACTTATSAAATCTTTAGATCAGGACTACATTTGATTAAGATTTATTCTATATCCAAATTTATACCTATTCATTGTTCCCTGTTTCATTAGARTAATTTATAAAAATCAACAGATCTTTAGACCCTTTCTTCTATAATAAATAAGACAGTATTTTGCAAACTATGTGCATAGCTGTTAAGACCAGGAGAAGAAATCTGAACTATTTGCTCAAGTTTCAGATCTGGGATCACAAATGGCTCTTGGACAGACACTCTGTCCTGTTGCCTGGCTGTGTGGCAGCAGGGGCAGCTCACTGGAGCTGAACTCCACTCTTGCAGGGGAAGGCCATCCCTGCAGAAAGGCACACAGCAAATCCCTGCTTGGTCATCAGAGCACACGTTGTACCTGTAACAGAACATGCTGAAGTTTGGCTTGTTTTGGAAAATGTTTCATTCCCTTGCCTCAGAGCCTTTTTACCACTGAACAGATCTATTCCTCAGTGTTTTTGCAGCTTCTGTCTTTGTATATGTATATTTATCTATGTATATCAATATATACACAAAACATATGTGCTGTATAAATACACATTCTGCTGCTGATTCTGGTTAATGTGCAATAGCATTTTGACTGAAACTATCWCTAATTTCAAACTCATAGGAGAAAAGGCATCCTTCTAGAGAAGTTAGTGTGCTTTTAGCAAACCTGATTTGTTTTTTTAACAAGCCAACCTCTGGTTGGTTGCCTGTCACACCTAGCTGTCTTCCAGAATAAAATACCTGCTCTTTTTCCCTCCTTTTCCAAGAATTAACRAACTGCTCAGTTTGGAGCAGGTATGTTTCTTTCTGAGATCAGTGGGCCATTAATCACCTTTTCTTGCTTGAAAATGCTTATTTAAATGCCTAAAAGCACATTTGCTGACCAGAAATTAGTTTCAGATAACAGGCCAAGAGAAGGAAGTCTGTGGAGCACTTTGAAAGTCAAAGTGAGTTATGAGTGTCTAATGTGACAAAAAAAGACAGTYGGGATTCATAGAGGTGGTGACACAATCTAAAGGACAGAACAAGAAAATGATTGATTTAGCAGCGGAAAGATTGTGTTTGCTGGTGCTGGAAGAAAGGACATGGCAAGGGTATGAGACACTGAAAGCCTTACCTGATTTTAAGMTGGTTGGAGTAACAGACTTTGCACCCAATATTTTCTAAGCACCAGTGCTGTTGCTGAAAAGTGTTAGGTTCTTTGCTCTATTTCATTTCAGAAGCTGCTTTTCTGACTTGGTTGTTTTTTGGGKTTTTTTTTTTTTTCAATTTGAACTTCTCTTGTAGCAGTTCCAACCTATCCTTCGATTATATTTTAATATTCTCTAGAACTAAATCTTACCACGCCTTCAAACCACACTTCTTAGGGTGTTACTACTTGTCATTAGGGTACAGAATCATGGTCTTAGGCATCTGTTCAAGGCCGAAGTACTTACTATTCCTTTATTTACTTCTGCACTGCTTTCTTCTGTATCCTCACATAATTGACATGYAGGAAGGACATTCATAATCATGAGTTCATTTAGCCAGTTTTGCAAATACTTCTAAATTATTTCTTCCTTCCCATTCAAATGCTGAGGACATAGAAATCCTGTTATTTGAGAAGGATCTACTTGCTTTAATGACTGAATCTGGACCCAGAATACAGGGAGATAAGTCAGTTACTTAATTGAAGTTCACAAACCTTTCAAAGGTGGTCCTGTTCCTGCTTGACATGCTCTGACCTTTACTACCATGTTTTTTCTGCAAGGTGCCTTATTAGCTAAATTGCTGCTTTAAATCCTTGATGGATTTAATGAAACAAAGTACTGCAGTAGCTGTGAACTCTTGACATATCTAGATTTGACTTAAAATTGACTACTTTGGTTCACTCTGCTAATGATAACTCCTGCAGCTGACATGCAGGATGGTATTCTCAAGTGTCTTTATTAAAAGTGGGTAAAGTAGGTTGCAGTTCCAAAGCAATTTATAATAAGCTTCAGAATGAGTAGCTGAAGAGATACTTGCAGATTCCCTAGGAGAAAAATTGCAGGTACTGTGTGTACAGCTTAAAGTGTCATGTCTTTATTTTGACCATTTATTGATGAAGGCAAAACCAGAGACAAACTGATAAACTCTCTGTCAGTGCTGCCCATGTGACAAACCAACCCTTATACACTTCCTTACTGCTTTAATTAACTTTTTATACATCTCTTAATAAAAAATGATACTATTGGGCCATTTGTAAATAATTCACTTTGCAGTGAATCAGAGTAAAATTCATGACACACAGATTTCAGAATCACTCTGTGACCTGTGAGGATTCTCAGTAGGATTAATTGCTCTGTCCTGTCTTTGAAATGACTGTGCAGCAAACCCAAGGAAGGTCAGAGCCTTTCCTCAGAGGGGGCCTGGATGGGTCTCATCCCATCTTCTTGGCTGCTCTCTGCAACCTGTAGGAGAGAAAAACTTTGAGACAATTTCTTACTTTATCAAATTTGGCCGATAGATTCAAACATGGAGGGGTCAACTGCCAGACACATGCACA